TTGTAACGTTGTTAATTATCTAATAAAAAGCCCCCCGGCCAAAGAGGTCACCTTAAACAACAAAAAAAAAAAAAAAATAAAGGTGTGTAAAGAGGATGTGAAAACAATTACACTTATAGATAAACAAGTGAAAGAATTATTCAATTCAAAATTTGTATATGTAGAGTACTTGGAGTGTTCCATTTGGGTATCTGTGATAAAGAATATGCTATTTTATTTTTAACAAGTTATGAAATATAGCACTAACTATATTTTTAAAGAACAGTTGTGACAAAAGCAAATGTAACTGAAAGAGTCATATTTCAGTCCTTCAAGATAAACTGCTTAACTTGTGCAATATTAAATATCATAGAAATTATGATCCTAATCATGTTTGGAAAAAACCACTTTGAATATCAAATTCTGTGAAAAAAACAATCACAAAAAGAGTTGCAAATACAACCTCTTCAATGTTGGCATCGGGTAAGTGCAGAGCAATAGTACTTTAAAAAAAATCTAGATTTTAATTTAATAATCTTGTTTTTAGAACTTATAAACAATTCAAAGATTCTTAATACAACTATTAACACACTAGCAAACCAAGTTCAACCAACGTCTACTCGATTCGCACCCAATCTTGAGTCAATACAAAATATCCTTAAGTATGATAAAAAATTGCATCATCCAAGCATATCAGAATTTGAAAAAGTAAGAAATTAGGCTTTTTTTCCTTATGTGATTTGTTGACCAATTCATGTTTTAATCAAATTCATATATTTTGATCCATCATCAATAATTTACGGTCTAATGATTCAATCTTGATTAATTTAATATCATTCGAATTTTCTTGCTAAGAGGATTCGAATAATATTAAATTAATCAAAATTAAATTATTAAACTATAAGTTATTGATGATGAATCAAAATATATAAATTTGATTGAAACATGAATTGGTCAACAAATCATATATTTATTTTTTATTTATTTATTTATTTTGCTTTGATTAATAGGTTTGTTTTATAATAGATAATTATGAGGCTGAAGACATTGTTATATCAAAACAATATGGTACTAAGAATACCCAAAGTCCAAAAGAATAAGCTATACTTCTTGGCATCACATTTATGATTATGCTAGCTCTTTTAACTAAGTATCCAGACTTACTAGCAATAGATTCTTCTAGCTGTCGCAATGGCTTAAACTTCCCGAATACAGCCTTTATAGTCAGATCAGATAAGCCCGAGATCGAGTTGTAGCAACATTTGTAGGTGCCAGAGAGACAATACTAGTTATTGATTTTATATTTGAGTCAGTAAGTATTTTTATATTTTCTAATCTATTTTGCTAGACAATGTATAATTTTTTTATTTTTTTTTGCTATTTTAAAGCTAATTAAATATAGTTTGAAGAATAGTGTTCAATTGAATCTGAAGTAGTTAGCTATGGACAATTGGGATCCTTATCTAATAGTAGCTAAAAAACACTTTTCTAATACGCAAGTAGTTTTGTGTAACTGGCATGAGGGTAAGTTCCTATAAAATTTTATGCGATTTATTACCCAAATTCATGTTTTAATAAAATTCATATATTTTGATCTATCATCAATAATTCATGATCTAATGATTCAATCTTGATTAATTTGATATTATTTAAATCCTCTTAGCAAGAGAATTCGGATGATATCAAATTAATCAAGATTGAATCATTAGATTGTGAGTTATTGATAATAAATCAAAATATATAAATTTTATTGAAATACAAATTTGGTTGACAAATCATTTTTTTTTTGCATACAAGTTTTTTTTTTCACATTTTTGCAATATTGTCATCTTTTTAGCTAATGTGCTTAAGGAATGGTTTACAAAAAATTTGAATAACCAATGGCTTAGAAATCGAATATTTTATCAATTTCGGTTTGTTAAATGGTTCTAAAACCAAAAAGAATTTGACCAACAAAAGGCTACTATTATAAATACAAAAAAGCTTCAGGCTACTGCTGGAATTGCAAACTTAGCAGTTGCAAGGACTATTGCAACTTATTTTTGAAAGAATTGGTTTGGTGATTGGGTTGGTTAGTAAAAGTTTTTTATTTCTTGTATTTTTCACATTTTATACTAACACTATAACAGATGCATAGCCAGATTTCAAACATGATAGTTGTTCTATGAAGACAAATATATTATTAGTTTAAGAAAAATATATTACTACATTATAGAGGTTGATATACAAAATCTTTATATACAAACTTTGAGAAGATAGATACATTAATACATATAGATTGTAGGGAAATTGAAAGATAAATTTGAAGATTTTTTTTTTTTAAAAAAAAAAAATTCATATAACAACTCTTCTATAAAAATTTTGGCGGAGAGAAGGCAAATTTTCTACAACTTCAAAATTGCAATGTAAAAAAAAAAGTAGATGAAATAGAAAAACGTTTATATAAAAAAAATCTTGTTGAAGGTAAATATGCTTGTGCCCAGCGATATTTTCATGGTCATCACATTATGTGATTAAATATTTGGCCTAAATTCAGAAGTTAAGATTAGTATTAGAGTTAGGTTTTATACTAATTTTTTAGCGTTAGTAATGTGATCACTAGATTGCATGTTCTTGAAGTGTCCCAGTCTTTATATATTAAATTGATATAATATCTAAACTTTTATTTTTAAAATTAATTATAGATTTAATATTTCAAATTTTTATAAAAACTGCTAGCCTGGTACTAGTTGTCTGTGTATTTATATTTACCAGTTATTTTACCCTTTTTAGTAATTAATCAGAATACTTGGAATGTGTCATGGTTCAATACGGATGCTGATACTCAGTATAATGAAATAGATAATATAGAAACTTCTAACTCAATTGACAAGCATAACAAAAAGTAGCAATTAAAAAAATTGTATATTATACAAAAAAGTGGGAAATTTGCTTGTCCTTGTAGCTTTAATGTAATCAGCAGTTATTATTGCCAGGATATTGTAGCTGTTTGATTATTTATTGATAATCTGAGTTATAAAAGTATTAATTTTTTTTTTATTATTGCTAATTCTTTCTATGTATTAATATTTTTAACTTTTTCTTTTATAGTAATACCTTTAATTCTCATAAAGAATCTAAACAAAATAAGCAAAAATAGTAATCAAAAAATCTTGTTTATTTGATTCTTTCTTTTTTTTTTATATGTAGTAAATGCATCATAATCATTGACAGTAATTGAAATATATATTATATAATATATATTAAGTATAATAATAAGCATAATGTTATATTGAATCTATATGTTGAAGTTATTATAAGGTGAGTTTATTTATTTTAGAACTTGAGTCCATAAGTTCATATTTAAAAAAATTGTAACTTAGTAGTCATAAGTTAGAAAGAATTTAACTATGAATCTTTATTACTAGCCTATATCTATAAAATAAGGAATTTCATATTATTGATTGTGCAATTAATCTGATAAAACTATATTAATATATCTTCTGATTTTTTCTATATAGACCTGGGGCTGAATTAGCTGCAAGTAGCTCTCTCGAGTCCTATCTTTGCCAGAAAGATGCTAATAGTCACAATAAGGATGAGCTCAGGTTACTTGAAAAATGAGGTCCTAAAAATAAGTGGAAAAATCGATTAGTGCTAGAAGAATCTATTCAATTGCAAGATACAATTTTAAACATGCCTTGTTATGCAGTAAAAATTGTCGAGATTATCAGTAAAAGTAAGGTTATTATAGATATTACCTTTGAAAATAGTGATAAAGATCAACACATAATTCAGCTTGATGATATAATTGGATATGCTGATAAGCAAACAAAAAAAAAAAGGTATATAACTGTAATTGCATCTAATTTAATATTTTTAGATAATATATTTTATTTATATTAGGTAAATAAGCAAATTATGCCTTCACAACCCGCACTATCATACAAAGACTCTTATGGTAATGTTGTTGTTTATATGATACCATACAGAGAAAAGAAAGACACTTTATATTTGATCTTTACATACCTAGTGGATACAAGTCTTATACTTGTTCAAAGTGTTCTTACTTACCAAGATATTTATAGCCAAGCTAATATTTTCGTATTATCTAATCTGAATTCATATACTAATCTGGTTCTTTAAGTTTTTGACCTAATGAACTAAAAAAAATGGACAAATACTAAGTTTCTTTGGGTTGAAAATTTATCAACATATACTAAACTAGCAAAAACAGATCAAATAGATTTATTTAAAAGACTTTCAAAATGGTTTTTTGAACAATTCTTTTATAATTCTTTGGATCAAAATTTCCTTGTTGTCAAAAGTACAATAACATCTATATGTGATTCAGATTACTGCCCGAAGAAAGTCTCACATTTAACAAATTTTTATAAAATTATACTTATATAAGTAACTGCTTAACGATCTTTATTTTATACCATCTTAATTCATAGTTTTTGTTTAAGTGCTACTAGGCATTTTTTAAATATTTAATTGCAAGTAAAATATTAATTTAAGAAAGGCAATAAAGCCAATAGCAAAATTTATAAAAATTGTTATATATATCAAGAGTTTATTAGTAACTTATATCAAGTGATTTATTAAACTTTTGCTCTAACTTTCTTATATTAAAACTTTAATTAATCTTTTTTATATCAAGAGTTACTTGTATTTTTTTTTTTAATAGAAAACTGCAACTATCTGTATTACCAAGAAGTAACTATTTTGAAATATGTCTTAAAAATTGGCAAAAACCTTATATTGTTCTATGTGGAGCAAAATTCAAGGCTATGGATAAAGAATCAACAAATATTTCTAAGAATGCTTTTAAGATTGAAAAATATATCTCAGTAGAGACTGAGAATGTCAAGTTAAGTAATTTATTTCTATTTTTTATTTATCTACTTTCTAATATTCTCTTAGATATTTGTATTTGTACGCAGGCAAGGTTAAGTTAACAAGACAAATTGACCGGAGACTGCCCTTGATTTTTGTAATTAATATTGCAGAAATTAGTATTATTGACAAAGAAATATATCTTGAAAATAAAGACATTCCAGAAGAAATTAATTTTTCTTTGGAGAATGCAAATATAAAACAAAGGTAAAAAGTTAGTATAAATTTTTATCTTTAATAACTTTATAATATATATATTATCATTATTGTCTTTTTTTATACTAATTTTAAATATAGATATTGTCTCACAGGAATTTCTTTTTGCGATGGTAACCACCATATTGCAGATGTCCATTTTGAGAATACCAAAAACACAGGGTAGTACCAATATGATAGTCTAGAAAAAACTTATTATACAAAAGCAATGTATATAGGAAGTTTACGTCTAACTTATAGAAATAACTATGCTATAGATTATATAATATATGTAAAGATTTGAAGAATTTGGTCATGCTTTTTTAGCTATAAGTTACTTAAACATTTATATGTTATATATTATCTCTAAATCCTGTTAATGCAATTTTAACTGATTGAAAAATGTTAGAAATCATTAAGAGAAATATCTGAGCATTATTTTAAATTTGCTAAAGATAAAATAGAGGCATATTTAAAGTAATATTTGAAATCTAATAGATGCGAAAATTTTATATGTCAGTAAATATTAAATAGTCCAATTTATAATCTAAATACCAAAAATTTAAAATACAAGGTTAAAAATTGTATAATCTATAGAAGAAAAGTATTAAACAAATTATAGTCTAATGGTCTATTGAGTTGCCTATTAAAAACCTAGTAAAATACATTCTTTATATAAAGAACTTCGAATTTTAAAAGTTATTAATACACAAATTCATCGAATTTGTATATTTTAATCCATTATTTAGTCTTGATAATTTTGATACTATTCGAATTCTATCATTGAGAGAATTCGAATGATATCAAATTAATCAAGATAAAATACTAGGCCGTAAATTATTGATAATAGATCAAAATATACGAATTTGGTCAATAAATTGCATAAACTTATAAAACTTAATATTATTAGTTTTACAAGATCATAATCATGTCCTGGCCAATTTTTATAGAATTTATACTAGCTAGTATGATAACTTTATAGAAAAGTCTTATAGCAAAATTAGCTTAATGTAAGTACTGAGAAAGATATTTGTAATTTAAGCAGATTTGGGATTGTAGTAGTATACAAGCCTTGAGTCTGATGCGAAGATAATTTGGTCTAAGAATTTTGTGTTGTTAAGTTACTATGTCTAAATATTTTTAATTAGAATTTGATATATCTAATTGAAATTGGAATTGGAATATAGCCAATAAAAATTTTGATTTAATTAACAACACTAAGAAACTAGAATATGTTATAGCCAGTGATGTAAATTGAGTTCGCATTTAGAGAAATCTCTGTACAAATATGCTAGTTGTACCTGTACCATATCAAAAGTTATTTACAAATTTAAGAAAGGTATTTTATATTAAACTTTCATTTACTATTGTAAGCAAGCAAAAAAGTTTGATACTTACTATATAATCATTGCAAGAAATTTTGGCAGGTTTTTATTGTGGTATTTTAGTAAATATAGACAGCATACCATTGACTGCTATATACAGTACCCATGGTCTTATTCAAGAACTCTATTTTTTTAAAATTAAATAGTACTCATAGATACTGTGTAAAGAACCAGGTACTATATTTGGAAAAATTTTATAATTATACTCTGAATCTTATTTAAGAAACAAGATGATAGTGATAGTAAATAATACCCAGGTCTTAATTATGGAGAATATTGTATATAGTGGTCAACAGTAATCCTGATAGAATGATTGGTTCTGTAGATTTTGCAACATGAATTGTATTTAAGAAGCATGTTATCTCACATGTAATCTTGATACAATAATTCAAGATGGATAAGCAGAAAAAGGAGATCAAATGATTATATGAAAAGAGTTTGACTTAGAGCTAATTTATATTGAATTATCTCATCTAATAAACTAGATAGCATCAAAAAAAGTCAGTTGAGAATTTGTTCTGCAAGATATACAAATAGAAACAAAAAGGTCAATGATTGTAAAAAGATTTTAATTTAGAACTGATTCATATAATCATATATTAAATAAATCTTATCTGATAGACTAGACGATATCAAAAAAATCGATGGCATATTTTCTCTTGGTCACTCATATTACTCTCTGATTCTTGCATAATCATAACTTCTAATCATGTTTTTATACTTTCATTCACAATTGTAGATCACAAGTTTAATTAATTTATTGCTACTATTTCTAATTTTTTTTACTTTTATTCTCTAAAAATTATGAGGCAAGTAATATAACAAAATACAAATAATGATTTATATAAAGGTAAATATCAGTCACTTTTTTTTTTTTATATAAAATAAGTTCACTAATAAATTCTATAATTACATATTCTATTTTTTTTAATTACATTAATCTATACTATTTATAAATTTCAACAATTTAAAAATTCATAAACAAAATTCGGGCAACCGAGTTAGAAGACCCCACTTGGTGGAATTAGGTTAGGATCAGAGGGTTTAAATAGG